CCAGAATTCAGTTTTAACCTTATATCAGTTAGTCAACTCGTCAAGAGTCCAACCATATGCTTATGGTTTTGCTCCTCATTTTGCCTTATACAGGAATTCCCGACTTTGAGAATGATTGGAACAGCTAGCTTACTGAATGGATTATACATTCTTCACTCACCACAGCAAACATTCAATCTTCATCAAATCCTACTGCAGACTGTCTCTTCTCCTACCAATCATTTTCTAGCCTTCTCTACTTTCAAGTAGCCTATAGATCTGTGGCACTACAAACTAGGACATATGTCATCCAATAAAACTTCTCTACTGAGAACTTTAGACTCAAATGTAAATAGGGTCTCAGATTTTCATTGTATTGTTTGCCCTCAAGCAAAATAGAAACGATTACCATTTCCTACTAGCACAAGTCAAACTATGACACATTTTGATTTGTTGCACATTGATATATGGGGAATGCCCCTGTCCAGTCTTTCAATGGTCATCTCTATTTTCTTACAATAGTAGATGATTATTCCAGGCACACTTGGCTTTTTCTCATGAAATCAAAATTAGAAGCAAGACCAATTATCATCTCTTTCTTTCATTATGTTTATACACAATTCAATCATAGAAATCAAATGCATCAGGACAGATAATGGGCTTGAATTCAACATTCCAGATTTCTATAAATCTAAAGGCACTATCCACCAAACCACTTGTGTTTATACCTCTCAACAAAATGGCATCGTTGAGAGGAAACATCAACATATTCTTGCTATCACAAGAGCACTTTTATTTCAAGCTTCATTACCTGCAACTTTCTGGCATTTTGAAGCAATGCATGTTCACGTAATAAACAGAACTCCCACTACCCTTCTGTTAAACTTCACGATTACAAATGTAATTTGCTTAGTCATAATGATCTCTCATCTTCCACTGTCCACTATCCCATTCAAACAATGCTTACCTACAGCTCCTTAAACACAATGCATAGGAAGTTTGCTCTTTCTATCACTGCTCATCGAGAACCAAGAACCTATAAAGAAGTTGCTCATTCAGAGTTTTGCATCTCTGGAAAAGACTAAAACCTGGGTTTTGGTTGATCCTCTCAAAGATAAACCCATTATTGGTTGCAAATGGGTGTTTAGACTGAAATTCAAACCAGATGGTGAGATTGACAAGCATAAAGCTCGTCTAGTAGCCAAGGGAAATACACAAACACCTGGGGTTGACTATCTCGACACTTTTTCACAAGTGGTTAAAATGACAACAGTTAGAATCTTGTTAGCTCTTGCATCCATTAACAACTGGTTCCTTGAACAGTTAGATGTTAACACAGCTTTCCTCCATGGGGACCTCAATGAAGAGGTTTATATGAAGCTTCCACATGGCTACCCTGTACAGCCTGCTGACAAAAACAAAGTCTATAAATTAACCAAATCATTGTATGGTCTTAAGCAAGCTAGTCGACAATGGTTTGCTAAACTGACTACCACTCTTGAAAAAATGGGCTATAATAAGTCATCCAGTGATCATTCCATCTTTACCAAAACTTAAGGTTCATCATTTACAGCCTTGTCAGTGTACGTTGATGATATTATCCTCACTGGCAACAATCTTCCAGAAATATTGATGGTCACAAAAGAACTTGACTTAGCCTTTACTATTAAAGACTTAGGCCAGCTCAAATACTTCATTGGCAGGGAAGTTTCAAGATCAGACACTGGTATCCACCTCTACCAACGCAAATACACATTGGATCTCTTGTCTGATATTGGTTTTTTAGCAACAAAACCTACTACAACATCCTCCATACCAGCAACTCATTTATCTGCTACCGAAGGAGATCCATTAACTCCTGAAGCACACAGCAGCTACAGGACCCTTATTGGTCGACTTTAGTACCTTTGTAACACTCGTCCTGACATTTGTTACACAGTATCAACTAAGTTAGTACGTTGATGCCCCCACTACAACCCATGATAAAGCCACTCATCGCCTTCTTCGTTACTTAAAAACCACTCCTACTAAAGGACTCTTCTTTCCTAGCAATTCCTCCATCCGATTAGTAGCTTTTTTCTGACTCTGACTGGGCTGGCTTTCCTGACACACGCCGTTCAATAACTGGTTTCTGTGTTTTTCTAGGAAACTCATTGATTAGCCGGCGTTCAAAGAAGCAGCCAACCGTCTCCAGGTCCTATACAGAAGCAGAATACAGATCTTTGGCAGACACATCTCAAGAACTTCAGTGGATAACAGCACACGTGAATTCATTCTGAATCAAGAAAGTATTTCTCTTCAATCAAGTCTCTAGCACACCTGACCACCAAACTGAAGAAACGAACATAATTGTTTAGTTGTCCAATTTCCCAGCCTCGTCACCAATTATCCCAGCAACCCGAACCATTTAGTTCACTGGCCAATTCTTCTTAGTCCCTCACTCTCCACAACCCAACCCATTATCTATTCAGCTCAATCATAAACATAACTCTAAATGAATCCTTCTATCACCCTCTCAATGGTTAGTTGTCTAGGAATACAAGATCATATGCTCAAATGGAGATGGATTTAGACATTGGATGCTCACTTTACCATCAAAACAAGGAGATCTAGTAATGAAGTAGGTTTAACTTTGATTGAGGTCCAAATGGAGTTCTACAAGTCAAAACACGCTCAAATCTGGAGGATAGGTTGCTTGTGTGCCAAGCAACCAAGTCCAACAAAGAGATCAGTGGCAGCCCTACCAACCATTCAAGCCCAAGCTCTAGAAAATTCCTTTTCAAGGTTACTTTGTCCACAAGTCAAAGAAATTCAAGTTCTAGTTGTACAAGGAAGGTTTTGGCCAACTTTAGAGGAAAAAAACTAGAAACCCCCATCTGGAACTAATATAAATAGAGGCTTAGGGTAGACTTCAACATACACCTTTTTACTAGCACTCAGCCCCAGGGGCGCGAGTTAGAAATCCATAGAGAGAGAGGAGGCAAAGTCCTGTTGGAGCTCGACGAGGAGTCTTCACCATCGATGCATGTACAATACATTGGTGATGTCTTCCTATTTTACTATACATACCTAGCTCAATTTTTTTAGGGATTTGACTCTATGATGCTTTATGTATTACTTTCTATGATTTAATTATGATATCTATATTGTGTCCAATGATCTTTACCATTGATGCTTAAGTTAATTTATGCTTGTATCATCTATTGTTTATTCATTCGATGTCATTGTCTTTGTATGATTTAGTTAATTGATGCTTATGATTCTGTTATATGTTATTATAGTATTATGTTCAATATCATTGAGAGTGTTAAGAAATTACCCTCTAGTGACATCTCATTGTCTTGTGTATGCTTGTTTTGTTGGACACATCTATGCATGGTTACATGAGATCAATGCTTGATTCTTAGATCATTGATGTTATAGACTATGGGCTATGGCTCAAGAGGGTGGATCGAGAAGATCAATGGTAAGGCTTGTTCTAATTAGAATGCGAGTGACTTCGTACCTCGTCCTTTGTTCTTCTTGATCTTGAGTTTTGAGAATTCTTTAGCTTTCATGGACGAATGAAGCGAGGAAACCTCTATGAATGTACCGTCTCCAAAGCAAAAGCACCCGTGAGTGGGAGCTCGGGATAGGCATTCAAGTGTCGGCGAGACGTACAATGTGCTAGCGGCATGGAGATGGAATGGTGAGCAGTCTCATTTCTATCCTCGGACAAAAAAGTGACCAATAAACAAATGGGATCTGGTCTTTCGTGTCAGAAGGCGAAGAGAAGTAAAAAAGTAAACATCATGAGGGCAAAGAAAAGGAGATGATTGACCTTTTTCTTAATTTGCCCGAGAAGAGCCCTCTCACTTTGTTCGAGTATATTCCCTTCCTCTCACTTCGAAAGAGCTTATTCGGATAACTAATAAAATTGCCCACACTTAACCATATGCTATCATAACTTTCTTGTTCTTTAATGATTCGTTTTTTTAAGTAACTTTGAGAGAGGATACCCATTGTGCATGACTATTTGGGGGATAACTAATAACCGTCTGGTTATAGCACTTGTAAATAATTATGATCATTGATGTATGAACGATTCATTATTTCAAAATGAATTGATCAATCAACCTGCTTCTTAAATCCACAAGGTTTTATTGCACATATGACTAGACGACGATTGTAAATTTTAATATTCTAACTCATGAAGCACAAAAAATTCCACGAGAAGTAGGTAAATTGTCAAACTACGTAAAAAACACAAATGTTTTGCTCGATAACTTACATTTTTATTTAATCGCTTTATGAAATTCACATCGAAATGTAACTCCCAAAAAGTCTACACTAATTCAATGCAACACACCTAGTCGTCTAGTACTTGCACCTGCAAATAATCATGATCGTAGTTATACGAGTGATCGATTATGTCTAGAGTGTATAGATCGATCAATGTGCTTCGTGTTTTTTTTTTTTTAACAAAGACAAATGATTTTATTGCACATGTGACTAACCGACAGTTATAACTTATAACACTCTTAACTGATGAAGCAAAACGCAATCCTACATGAAGTATGTGCATTATCAAACTGCGTAAAACGTGTCTTCTTTGCTCGATAACTTATCTTATATTAAATGACATTCACATAAAACATAACCCCCCAAAAACTGACACTAATGCAATGTAACACACCTAACATAACATTTAATCTACTGCCATGTCTCTTAACTGTTGCACCAAAACAAAAACAAAAAACAAAAAATACCCACCAAATTAATTTCGTATCTATCCTTATTTTTCATTTTTGGTATTCAAATCTGTCCAACAACCTCGAGCGTCAACCTTCCATAACGCAGTCAAACTACGAATCCTTATTCATTACTTCCCTTCCATAACGTTGTGCAAGGTTGCATGAAATTTACTCTTTCTGTTACTTCCTTTCACTTATTTATACCAAATTAACTCCCCCACCAACCCAAAGTAATTAAAAAACAAAAAAAAAAATCTCCCGAGTTGGTCGCTAAAAGTGAAGTTAACAATGCCGAGAAAGCTGCGCAAATCCGTCCGGGGATATCTTTCCAAGATCAAAAGCGCCAATTCTGCCCTCCATTTCTCTTCCAGCTCCTTCTCTTCACCCAAGAGCTGGATTCTCAGAGGCTGCAAGCACGTCAAGACCCTTTCCTTCTCCGGCGTCGATAACCGCCGCCGGGAAGAAGAGGATACCAATAGCGACGACGAGACCAACAATAGCAACCAGAACAAGGACGTCGCCGCAGCTACACTCGATGACGTGGACCAGTTCCTCTTCGACAATTTCCGGTCGCTGTACATCAAAGACGACGACGACGACGATGAACAAGAAAAAGATTCGCGTCCAACAAAGACCGTTGAGGCAGACGGTCATCATTTGCAACGGAGAGATGATGGTGGCAAAAAGAGCTTCTCGGTTGACCCGCCAGCCAAACGGTCCAACCGGTTATTGATCCGACCGGCTGGGTCGTCCTCATCCACCTCCTTGGCCGATGAAACCGCACGGTCGAGCCAGAGGACCACGACCTCATCGACCGACGAGATGGCCGGTTCGACGATGTCCAACACTCTGACGTCCTACTCCGGCAGGAACAATCACGACCGTGACTCCGCGGCCGAGGCGCTTCCCGAGGACTGCATCGCCGTGCTGACGTACACTCGGGCCCCGCAGGACGAGTTCGGGCGGTCCATGCAGGAGATGGTGGCGGCGAGGATGGAGGACAAAGGGAGCGTTGACTGGGAGTTCATGGAGGAGCTGCTCTTCGCCTACTTGAACTTGAACGACAAGAAGTCGCACAGGTTCATATTGAGTGCTTTCGTGGATCTCATCGTCACGTTGCGGCCGGCGGCCGGGGAAGGAGCCCCGGCGAGGGCGCGGCGGTGTCCCAGTGGGAGAGGGATGTTGTTGAAGAGGCCAGGGGCCGAGTCCCAGAAGTGATGTTATAATGTAAAACAGGCCGATAGTGATGGAAAACAATTACATGCACAAAATAAATCTGTTCTCAAATTGTTTTCTCAATGTCGTTTGTTTGGAGGTTGTGATTTCAAGCGATGTATTTAGTCAATGCATGTAATGTCAAAATTAAGTCGTTTTTTTTTTTTTGTTAAATTTGTAACAGAATACATGTATAACCTTTCTGAATTACAATGTGTACCTCCAAACAATGTATTTTTCAAATTCATACATTTCATCAATACATCAAATTACAATACGCAAATTGATTAAATACTTCAATCTGGAGAATCTCAACCTCCAAACAACCCCTTTGTCTTTTCACTGCCAACTAGAGAAACATGAACCCCGCAAAAATCCAACTCTACATTGACAATATATTCACAAATATTTTTTTAGGTTTGTTTTCGACAATCGCATATGCAATCTTCCCACTAATAAAACCAGAGTGTACTATACAAATCTGTATCATCGATGCTGGTATATTGTTAAGACCGAAATGCTGAGACCTTCTGGAGAAAGGCGATAATTGAAAGTCCATCGATACCGGGCCGATATCTGTACTTGTTGGTGATGCCAGGAGGAAGATGCCATACCTCCAGTCCAGTCTGATTTCAGAAGCAAAAAAAAGAAACTACAATCACCAAAAGGAACAGGCTGAACTATGCTGATATGTTCTCCAAGACACGATCTTAAGAGTCATGCTAACTAATAATGTATCCACTCTTGTGATCAATAAAAAAGGCAAGGTGAGACTTACTAGGGTGCATCCCAAGAAGTCTATGTACTTGGCGCTGTTACAGTTCTGCACTTTACACCGTCCTTCGATCATGCTGTAAAACATACGTCAAAAATCATCAGGCAAAATTGTAATCAATGAATGCAACCACGTCACTTAAGGTTCAAGTGTGGCCAAATTCGAGATCAATGAATGGTCACAAAAGTTCAGTCATTATTCACTTCTATGCATCTCTTCAGATCACAAGAACATACCTACAGTCACACTGACACAGCAACTGAAACCAGTTCCGTAATATATAGGGCTATTATAACCAATTTGAAAAGGTAGAAATGTTCTCCGGAGAAGCTACTGTTTAGGCGGATTCAAGGCAAAACATAGAGTTGTATTTTTGTGTCAGCAACTAAAAGGAATCAAACTAAGGGAAAAGGGGTATCCTGATTGCAGGTAAGTTATCGTAAAAGGGCAGAGTTTCTTACTTTGGTTATAGGGTAGTTGATCTTTTGCTCCGACGTACTGCTCATACAAAGAACGATACTTTGAAGGGACAAAATCTCTGAATCTGTACACAATGGGAGTTTGTTTAGTGGGATCATCATGTTCATAGGCCAGTAGCACTCGAGTATCTCTGAGATGTCGATGGTAGTAGTCAGTCATTCCTACCTTTCAAGCAGTTGGGCCCTCTCTGGCCCTCTGAATAAGTTGATGATAGATTGTAGCACATGGCCTATTGTCATGGCTTTGGATTTCAGCGCTTTCATAAAACTGACGAATTCAGCATATTCTGGGGCAGTAAGTTTTTCCTTTACCTGTAAACCATGAGTCACAAAAGAGAAAACGTGTAAGCAAGTATCTGGTCAACATGAAAAGAATGCAAATATAGTTAGTACAAAGTGCCCCCATCCAGCAACAAATGCATGGTTATTGACCCATGCGGCCATCTTTTATCCTTTTCATCACAAGCAGGAACACACAAGTATAGTTGATTTTTTTTCTTGTGAACCACCAAGCAGGAGCAGAATAACTTGAATTTTTCTAAGGAAAAAGACTTCCTTTCAAGCATTCCCTGCTTAAACAACAAACAGCAGACTGCAAATTGGCATTATGCACCAGTATTTCACCTGACTTAGAAATTCAGATCCTTTTGTTTCCTTGTCTCCAGTGTGCAACGAGTTAGAATGAGCTGCATTACTCTTTGAGGCATGAACATCGGTCTTCCCCATCTGAGGGAACCCAGGTGAACTAGAATGTTGCTGGGTTCTATAATCAGAGATAACTCTCTCTTGGGGTGCAAACTTATTTGATTCTCGTTTTTCATCTATAAACTTCTGCTTAATATCTTCACTAAGCTCTCCTTTTGACACCTTACGCTTCTTAGCAGAACATGGCAGCAGTCCCTCACCACTAGGGATTACCCTACCAGAGGATCCACCAATCAAGTTGACCATCTCCTGTTTTTCGCGTTGTGTTGAAGTTCCCCCCAGAACAAGCACTGGTTTCTCTTTTGATATTAGACCTTTGGAATACTTCAATATGAAGTCATGGTTATTTTTGGGAGGATTAAGAGATGCACAATTAGCTGGAAGAATCTCCTTTAATTTGCTTGAATCACTGAAGCTTTTATCTTGAAGAAAAGGAAGCATTGACGATATGTTGGCAGCCTTCTCATCTGTAGGCATTGTCTGCAGATGTACAAACGTAAGGAGCACTTCCCAAACAAATGATGCATCATCATACTACTGACAGATTTGAAAGCTCATGCTCAAAACTGCTAAAAGATAACCAAGGTAGTAAAACTGCCACCTGAACTTTTTCCACCTGCTGCGACATCTGTGTGACTTTTTCTGCAGAAGTTAGCCATACATAAAATTGTAAGATGGATCACTGACATGAACTTGTGGCAGAAGGAATAGGTTGAGAAGCAGGATTAAGTGGGAAGACCGAGGAATCTTCCCGAGGATATGAACACCTTACCCGTAGACTTCAGCATCGTTGAACTACTAAATACTCCATCGCGGAAAAAACGACTCAATGTGAAAATGACATCTCCGAATCTAGAATGACACTGAAAAAAAAGGAAGATTGAGCATGTCCAGCAGTTTCCGGGCCAGAAGCGGATCCAAAAGTCCAAAATCCACATATACATACCTTAAGATGAGGCCTAATCCATAGTGAAATCTGTGACTGCTGATTTGCATTTGAGAACCTGCTAGCACTCAGACGTATAATCACTAAAGTATTAATTGTATGTATCTAGTTGAAGCATGATTGAATTCAGAAAAAGAGACCAGACCCCTTTTTCTTTCCGTAAAAGGAAGAACTTAGATGTGTAATAAAGAAATTAAGGTTTGATTTTATAATTATCTCTTTATTTAGACTTATTTTATCATTTGAAAGGGTTGGTTAATCTACATCTAGATTTAATGGAAAAAAATACCTACCATCATAATCTAAAAAGATAAGAAGGCTTTAACCTAAATTGTCCTGGAAGAAACTAACATTTAGTAAGAAGTTGGGATGAAAACAGAGTTCATTTTCACCAAATCTTGAACCTCACTGCTAAATTTTGAATCAGAATTCATTAAGTGGTGAAGCGTATGATTAAGAATCCCACTTCACTTGAATCAGATAAATATTTCAAACAGACAGGATAACTGGACAAGGCAGTAATGACTCCGAGGGGTACAAGCAATAAGTTACACCTTTCAGAAGAGTGTAAACAAACCTTTCATCACAGAATATGATCGCTCCATAATCATGTCGATGGCGAATTACACGTCCAACAGCCTGATTCACAGCCCGTGATGCTTGCTGGCCGTACCAGCCTTCCCCAGTTAGAATCTGGAACTTTGTCCACAAAAAGAGGGGAAAGAAAACTGTCATGGAAAAGAATGAATGATGTTTATTGCCAACAACTTCCATGGATATATACCAGTCATGATGCACTATAGATAGTACCTTGTTGTTGTCCCTTGAGGATGCCGCTTGTTGATCCAAAAATTCTCGCTTCAAACGAACCTGGTATCAACAATTATGGATTATATAGATGGAATGATGATGCCCCAATAAGTGTAACTTGTAGGTAATTCTAGTAAATCCTAATAAAATTCAAAACTAAATGCATCTGAAATGCAATAACGATAATACAATCTCCACTTTCATCGCAGAACAGTGCAGCTATAGTTATGTGAGCAGCTACTGCAATTGAAAAAACCAAAAGTTTATGACTTCTGGATAACCAAAAGCAATCCAGCTGTAGTTAAATTTACATATTCATTCACAATGCCAGTTTTCTTCTCAGGCTTTTCCAACATCAGTTAGTCGTAGGTTGTCTTCTTGTGAAAGTAGTCTAAATGAGTTTCAAATACGAAATTATCACAGTAAAAAAATAACACAATTGATTTATGGTAAACTAAAAATAACACCATAACTTATTTTAAGTAAATTATATCTCTGACATCAGTTGAAGCAACTTTTCATCGTATCAAAATACCAAAATTTACTTATAGAACTGACCTCAGCTCAACAAAAACAATCCCAGCTGAAAAGAACGTAAAAGCAAACACACTTAGAAGAAATCAAGACGGTCTAGTCCCTAGTTCCAACTTACGTAGTTAGCATTATACTGTACAGATGAAAACTAAATAAAATAGAACTATTCAAAGTTCAAAGAATAGATTTGAGATCTCCTTCGGGTGAGATGGATTAAACCAACAATTACATTAGACATAATCTTGACATATTCTGACCTCAAGAAGATATGACATCATAAGAATACGGGTCAATCCAAGACATTTTAAAAAATGAATTCAGGGGGTTGCGTGATTGAGTTAATGAAAGACATATTTGTTTCAGTTTCAGCTATGCTAAAACACACTTGTGCTTGAACTACAGAACCAAAATAGAATAAACACCTTTCTGATCAATATAGTAGCTTCGAAATACAAAACGGCACACATATGCTTATACATCAATCAGCAGAAGTACAATATGTAGAGAGGAAATAAGCAGCAAATAATCCTCAACCTTGGGGTCAGTCCTCATGGGAAAAGGAACTCCTGTAATTATTACAGCCCTCCCAGTTTGATCTGCAAAATCCAGTCCTTCACTTACCTGCCAGTTGCATTATACACAAGTTGTCTTTTAGTCTAGAATCCCAATGCAACAGTGAATTTTAAAAGTTCAAGAAACTGAAAACCACTACAGTGATTTACATTGTAAAAGATTATAAGGTCCTGAAATACAAGAATGCTCAATACATTCAGAGAGTAAGGAACTGTGTAGAAGAGTGGAATTGATTTTCTGAGAGAGAGAAAGGTTGTCTTTACAGTTCTTCAAACCTCAGATTAATAGTTTTCCCTGAGCAGCTCTACATTTGATTTTCTTCTGTTTGGTTCTATTTTAATACATAACCTAGCATCCTACCCTCCTGCTACTAACTGAAGCGGAAAAGGTATCATTTATGTATTTCAATCTATCATCCGGCATCTTCAGTAGCATTAACTTAAAATAAAAGAAATTCAAGGAGACACTTTACTACCCTCCAAAATGAAGACAAGCCTTTTCTACAGCATGACAATTGGATTCCAGGAAAAGCTAATGTGACGAACATTTGCCTAGGAACATAAGGCAATCGATATCACCCTCAGAAGCATAGTTGGACAACAGTATGAAAACAATTCAAAACTACTTTTCATCTGTTGCCATGGCATGATTGATTGTCCAAACTTCAGGATTTAGCCATACCTTGCCACGACAAACAGCAAAAAACACTGCTCCAGAGCTTGAGGTGTCCTTCAATTTAGCCATATAATCCTGTACATACGCAGCGGTAATTATTGTGTGTCACAGCTACTTTGCATCTTGGAGCCATTTGAAGCTGTAACTGTATTGATTACCTGAATTGCCGATGGGAAAAGAGATGATTGTCTAGGTTCTATAACAGGCTTCTTATACCTGGAGATTCTTTCCCATATTGTTGTTGAACTAGTATTATCCTGCAGTAAATGAAGTGAAAATTAGTAAAGGATTCTTCAAGAAAATAGCTATGGTTCCACAAATGAATGACCATTAATGATGCATTACCACGCTCTTCCAGCACTCAATGGATTTGTCCAGAACGTAGTATGAGGGAAAGAATACAAGAAGCCCATCAGGTACAATCCGAGCAAAATTAACTGGACATGAAAGAAATCTGTCAGTGTGGACTTCAGATTGATATGAGCAATAGATCCCTTCTATTACTAGTTTTGCTACTTACCAATGGCATTTCCTAGCTCTCTCTTATATTCTACAGAATCACGATTTCTGTAGGAAGAGTTGAAAGAATGCCCTGATGGGCCAACCCCAACAACCCCTGCCCAGATCTGATTTGAGGATATGACATGAGGGTTCTCCAACCGAACAGGAAAATTCCTGAGTCAGCAAGATAAAATTCAATGTGACAAGTTTCAATATGACACTTATATCAATATGATATCACTCACATAAAAAACCTTACAATCTCAACTCTTGAGCAAATGACTCCATAGGTGATAGTGTTCCAGAAGTCAAAATAATGGAGCCAACTCCCCTCTTGGAGAATTCTTCCATGGCAATGCCTGGATTAAAGCACCACCAGCTAAGAGTTCTCGGTGCTTTACCTACATTACAAAACACCAACAACGTATGTAGTTTATTACCCATGATCTTCTGAGTCTCTTAATTATTATTTCTAGAGTAATAATCTGTGAGAGCGAATTCATCATCTTTGTTCTTATTTATATTATCTTTTATTGGTGTTCATGTTGCTGTAGTTTTGATGAGGAAATTTGGAATCATTATGTAGCAGATGTCACGGGAACACACTAATCCTACCTAAAAGAGTATAATGTTCCATATATGACAGAAATATAAACATCAGAAATGTACATTAATGTTACAGTGCTGGTAGATCATTTCAAAGAAGTGCTACTATCATCTCCATATGAGATTCATTCCAAAGTCCTGACAGATAGGTAAAGAAGATTTTGAAAACAGCTTATCTCACCGTAAGGGGCATGCACCATTTCCAGGTATATATTTGACATGGATTTCCAATAACGTGCCCTGACCAACTTAATTTTCTGTATTTCATTTGACAATTCCATGCATTTCGTAACTATTCGGTCATGTCTTGCAAAGCCGCAGCAAATGATCAATCCGCTTAAAAATTTCTTACACATTCTCATTTCAACTAGCCAAACAGACTGTTCTTTCATGAACCACTTATATACCCGCTATAAAGGTCTCTCCCACTGTTTTAGATTGAAACATAAGTAGTGGGGAATACGACTGTAATTTCGAGAGCCCTCAAGCATGAAACCAAGCAAAAGAAGGGGGGAAATTTCGAGAGCCCTCTAGTAGTTCACAGCAGGACTACCTAACAAACACCAACGTCATTTTCTGGGCAAGTCTTAACTCATGGCTGTCAAAAACAAATTGTACAGAAAATATCATTCTAAATCTTAAAAAACAATCAATAAGCAATAAACATAGATATTGAAGCACAAACTGAACAACAAAATCAATGGAGTTGCAGATTTGGGAGTCCTTTTATCATTGTGTTACCTTTCAAGACATCTGGAGCATAAGACTGGCCTTCACGCACATGAACCTAGAGTACAGATAGGATTCTAATTTAGAATATCGAATAACAACACAAACAACATGAGCTGACTAAAGAATAAATATCAACAATGGTGCTGTCATTGTAACTCTGAACAATTTATTAACCAGAACTTACGCGGTAAAAGGTTGCATGGGCATTATTTTTATCTTTAAAAATTAGTTTAAGGATGTCAGCAATACTTTCAAGCCGACAGACAGTGCCTTGTGATTTCTGCTGTTTGTCTTCCTCCAGAAGCACAGCAGCCTCCTCAATTATATCAATGAGCTTGGTTGCAGTGTCATGCGTGAGATTCAGATTAGCAAGTAATTCATAGATGTAGGGCCCAGGCCTGGTGAATCCCAATTCACTGGATTCAATAGGTACATCAGCTATCCCCTTCTCAAGCTTCAGAAGCAATGCTGCGGGATTGAAACGTACAAAGAAGTATAGCCTTGTATAAGGGACTGTCATAATATAAAGCACTCATGGGAGTGCGAAGTGGAATGAATTTGGAGATGTGCAACTATGATATATCAACCTTTAAGAATGGCATAGTTCTCGGGATTTTGTGATTTATCACTTGATGTATCCCTTCTTGTGATAGAAAGATCAATGCAGGATTGCGCCTCGGAAATGCAAGCCGTCAGAAGCCCAGCAGGCAGGTCAAATGAAGCAGCATCAGCACATATGCCTTCCTGCAACAGATTAATCATGTAAGCATGCATACAAGAAACACAAATTGTATATATGATATAATGAATTCTAGCGGAAATTCGAAAAAGAAGTCAAGACTCAAGACTGATCTACCCAAGCAACTACATTTTCCCAATCGCTTCTGAAAGCATGCAGATAGATATGCTAACCATCCTCTGAAAAAATACTTCGTCCAAATAGGCAATTTCTTGCCATGGCCTTTAGATGGACTAGATAAATGGCAATAGAAATCGCTATAATCTGAACTCGCATTAATGCTATACACCCTCTCTGTCCTCAAATATCTCTGTAACAACTCAATTGACCAGCACTTTGCCACTTTTTTCTACTTTAGAACATGTGGAATTTGCACTCACCAGGTTGTGAGCTTCATCGAATATTAGGACACTGCTGTCCCAATCAATCCCAAGAGATTTCCTATAGCTAGGATCAATCAGATAATTATAAGGTGCGAATAATATGTCAACCACTTTACTGAGTTCCCTTGATATATAGTATGGGCACCTGCAAGAAATACAAGCAAAATGAAAAGAAAAAAAAAGTCACCAATTCAAGATGCCCAGCATCTGGTAATCAAGATTTTAGCACATAGAGAAACCTGTCGATGGAACTTACGGTCCAAACTGTTGCCCAATTTTTACCAAATCCTCTATGTCAACTGGTTCATCTCCGAGATGGGGATTCTGCTTTACATAAGCTACAAAGAGGCAGACATGACCGTGATCAACACTTTTTCCTGCACGTTTACTTTCATGAAAGATAGATACAATAATTTCCAAATCTATGTCGAAAGTGGTCTGTGACCCTTCCCACCAGTGCAGAAAAGACTATCTTCTATTTTAACCACTTATGCCTTGTTCTGAATCTATCATTAAGTTCAAAAGAAAACATTAGAGAATGCAGCATCTTCCCAAAATAAATTTGGTCAAAACATTTCAAAATACTAAAAAAAGAACGACAGCAACACTAATATTAACAAACAACAAGGCAATAAGGAAAGAAGAACAGGCAATATGTGTTGTTTAGTCTTGCTAACATCTTGATACCTAATAAGCATGCAACAAATAGGGAACTAGAGATAAACAGGCTTAATCAGGAACCACAGATATTACCATGAGAAACCAGAAATCTAAGTATAACTAAGTTCAACTGAGCTCCTGGTGAAGTCTTAACCCAAACTGAGCTCCTGGTGGAATCATTATATAGCAAAGAGAAAATGCTAAGGTGGGATGTAAGCAACTTAGAACCTTGACCTATAGACATGCTACTCTTAATATATAAATACTTCACTATGAAATATTTCATGATCAAAGTGGGGATATGCCAGTCAATTTGCATGCATTTAGATGAGAAAATGCAAATTTCGTACAACATTGGAATGACACCAGGACAAATTGAAAACAGCGTTGCAGAAGAGTTCATAAAGGCTTACTCCACCAGTTGAAATACCTTGGAATTCCATATTGCCATTGACTAGCATACATCCAAAAGAAAGACTGATAGAAACACTCCTCAAGGAATCGAAATTCAAAGTTCAAACAACTGGGATTTTTCAGTTGCAAGATCTACCCTAAATATGGAATCAAGTCTAATAAGAATGCAGGTTGTAGTACCAGATGTTTGAGAGAAATGAGCACACTGACGCTTTGCACTCTTTCTGCAAAGGAACCGGCAAGCGTTTGACTGTGCTTTTCCACGCAGTGTACGAACTTCCTCATGAATGCACAACTGTTCTCGAGACCCTAATATCACCATTTTCGGCCTGCAGCATTTATATAATGCAAACCAGAAGTAATAAGGTAGAATATTACATGTACCACGTGCCCCCAAACCGATTGCAAGATCAGCAATGAAAGAAGGAAAAGTTCAGACCTGTAGCTGCTCGTCTTCAACTCTTGGATCACTTGACGGAGCTGGCTGTGAGTTCGTGAAGTATACACTATCGTAGGAAGACTGCTACCGCTGGACTGGGATGAGGGCGTCCCAACCACACTCTGACTATTCCTCTCAGACTTCCCAGTAGAAAATCCACCTAGACTCTTCCTCCATGCCAATGTAGCACAGAGTAGGCACAGGGTCTTCCCAGTTCCGGTAGGACTCTCCAACAGTGCATTACATTTCTGCCACATTACAGATAATTAGCAGACTGTAAGACCACAATAACTAGTACAATACCCTAATTCGCTCCAATACCCGACATGCCAAGGAAGAAAAAAAAAATCTCCTACGAATTCAACACCCCAGCAACCACACGATATGGTTCGCATCAATGCATCTAGCAAGCATAAACTTTGAGGGAGAATGACTCACATTTTGGAGAGACTCGATCACTTTCTCCATGTAAACGAGCTGGCAATCGTATGCCTCGTAAGGGAAATCCACATCGATTCCCCTGATCTTGTAAGTCGGCATGTTTGTTCTACCTCCCCTTGCCGGAGGGGAAATTACTTCTTCTTCGCTCTCCCGACAGTGCTCGTGACGAACTCGGTCTGAAGTCAAAACCCAAACACAACAGAACCCTAGAGAGGAAAGGATGATTTTCCCGCCATTTTGAAGAAGCGTCGAGCTCGATCCGCTGTCGTTGGCGGAGTCCTATGGCCATCTGAGATTGGGCCCAGCCCAATGATTGGCTCAAATTGGAAGAATCCACAAAGCCCAACAGTATATACAAAGGGTTCAATGCACCGAGTGAGGCCGAAGAGAGTCAAACGAGCGAGTTTTTTAGATCTTTCTAGAAGCGGACCATAAAAGTGGCATTCTCTGGCCGACCACCTCAATTTCCAAGCTTCTCGTTCTCGCCGGCATCAGCCTAGGCTTACTTTTCCGAATTAGAAAATAAACCGAACCGAAAAAGAAATATAAGAAGTAAGAGAGAGAATTCTAGAATCAACCACACACGTCCTTCCCTTCCTTTGCTTCGCCGCTCCGCCCCGCCCCGCTCTCTTTCCTTCCTTCTTTAAAGGTACGACGATCGTTATAACCCTAGCGTTCTCTTCTCTGTGTGACGATTCGATTCAGTCTAGTCTCTGTTCCAACTCCGAGCGAATCTCGGGGTTCCCTCTTTGCGTTTCATCGTCTGAGCTTTCTCTCTCTCTCGTTCTCGTCAACTCCCGCATAGATCTGTGAGTTTCATTCATTGCTTCAGCTCTGAGACCCGGAATCTCTTTCCTCGTCTGCTTCATTGCTGAATCTAATTGCTCTTTGCTGGTTTCTCTAGTGGCTGATTGGTGGATGGTTTGATTCTCTTGGGGGGTTTTCAATTTGATCTCCTTTTTTAGTCTTTCGAATTCAAGCTGTTTTTTTTCTTCTGTTTTCAGTGGTTGTTTGTTGCTTTGGCGATCTTGCTTCATTGATAGATTAGGGCAGTCGGCGGTGGTGAGTGTGCAGCAGGTTGTATCAGATTGTGAAGGTTGTAGGTTTGGTGAATGGCGGGCTTGGGCCATCTTCTTCTTACCATCTGCCTGATGAAGTAGTTAATTGGAGATTCCCAGAAAGTCTGATTGTCTTTGTCCATTAACATGAGATCCTGTTAGAATCCTTTATTGGATTGGGAATTTCCTTTCAAATCATGCGCTGATATGTAGATCTTAAGTTCTGAATGAGCTTTCATAGTACTTGTATAAACTGTCTCATGGCACCCATTTACACTTAGACTTCTGGTAGACATCTAACGGGTAGAAAGGATGTGGCGGCTTTGGTGGCTTCATTGCATAGAGCTGCTGAAACTGTAGATGTTGGCCCTCATTAGGGCTGGACTTTTGTTTGTTTCTTGTACTCTGATTGGTGGCTAACTTCTAATTGATCTGATAGTATGCTGCTCTAGGATGATATGCTTTCCAGCTGCATAAATTGGTTGAATGAGTAAAGTCCTTTGTCTAACTTGATTTATTTCTATTGTTGTCTTGCACAGGCAATCACACCGTCATCCTGAATACTGACTAGTTCAGTGAATTTTGTCAGTTTAGGGAAACATGAGTGTGGTTGGCTTTGATTTTGGAAATGAGAACTGCCTTGTTGCCGTGGCAAGACAAAGAGGGATTGATGTTGTTCTTAATGATGAATCGAAACGTGAGACTCCAGCCATTGTTTGCTTTGGAGAGAAGCAAAGGTTCATTGGTACTGCAGGCGCTGCCACGACTATGACTAACCCCAAAAATTCTATCAGTCAGATTAAGCGTTTAATTGGACGGCCGTTCAATGATCCTGAATTGCAGAGAGATCTAAAATCGTTGCCTTATGCCGTCTCTGAAGGACCTGATGGGTTCCCTTTGATCCATGCGCGGTATTTGGGCGAACTGAGGACCTTCACGCCTACTCAAGTTTTGGGAATGGTGCTTTCAAATTTGAAAGAGATAGCAGAGAAGAATCTCAACGCTGCTGTGGTTGACTGCTGTATAGGGATTCCTGTTTATTTCACTGATCTACAGCGAAGGGCTGTCTTAGATGCTGCTACAATTGCAGGATTGCATCCACTTCGTTTGTTTCATGAAACTACTGCTACTGCACTTGCTTATGGAATTTACAAAACTGACTTGTCTGAAAGTGAACAACTGAATGTCGCTTTCGTCGATGTTGGCCATGCAAGTATGCAAGTGTGCATTGTTGGATACAAGAAAGGGCAGCTCAAGGTACTGGCACATGCTTTTGACCGGTCTCTCGGAGGCAGAGACTTCGATGAAGCTCTGTTCACCCACTTTGCTGCGAAGTTCAAGGATGAGTACAAGATAGATGTTTACCAGAATGCCAGGGCTTGTCTTAGGTTGAGGGCTGCTTGTGAGAAATTGAAGAAGGTTCTCAGTGCTAATCCTGAGGCACCTTTGAATATCGAGTGTTTAATGGAAGAGAAAGATGTGAGAGGTTTCATTAAGAGAGATGAGTTTGAACAGATCAGTATGCCTATATTGGATCGTGTGAAGAAGCCACTGGAGAAGGCTCTTGAGGATGCTGGACTTACTGTTGAGAATGTTCATACAGTTGAGGTTATTGGGTCTGCATCTCGTATACCCTCTGTTTTTAAGATCCTGACGGAGTTCTTTGGCAAGGAGCCCAGGCGCACAATGAATGCGAGCGAGTGTGTTTCTAGGGGATGTGCCTTGCAGTGTGCCATGCTCAGCCCCACATTCAAAGTGAGAGAATTCCAGGTAAAACTCTGCAAGTGCCATGGTTGTTTAAGTCTCTAGCAAACAAATCTCTCTTTTTTTTAGCTTTACCTTGAATCAGGATTATTAGGAATGCTCTTTTATTGCTTCTAGTTGTGAGGTATGAGCACTGGTATGTCGGTTCCTGGTGGTTGGAACGACCTTTGCACCTTTTCTTTTGGGTTGTAAACAGTTGTGGTCTGCGGCACATAACATGCCCAAATGACACTTCCTTTTATTTGCAGGTTCATGAGAGCTTCCCATTCTCAATTGCTATGACCTGGAAAGGAGGTGCAGCACCGGAGACTCCAAATGGCGCTGCCGTTAACCAACAGAGCACACTTGTGTTCCCCAGGGGAAATCCCTTACCCAGCATCAAGTCTCTGACTTTCTATCGGTTGGCGACATTTTCTGTTGATGTCCAATATACGGACACAAATGGGTTGGTGGCTCCTTCTAAAATCAGTTCTTATACGGTAAGGAAACTTGCTTAGTCATCTTTACTGCAATCCAGCTTTCATCTTTTTGCTTATGGTTCTGTCATTTTGTACAGATTGGGCCTTTCCAGGCCACGAAAAGTGAGCGGGCCAAAGTTAAGGTGAAAGCTCGGTTGAATCTGCATGGAATTGTGTCCATTGAGTCTGCAACAGTAAGTTCTTCGTATTATCTTTAGTTTTGCCATTCATTTTCAGCACGTTTGGGATATAATGTTTAATGGAAGACGGTGGTCTATATTTACCAGCTTTTGGAAGAGGAAGAAATTGAAGTGCCTGTCTCAAAAGAGACAGTCACCAAGATGGACACTGATGATGTTCCAAGTGATAGTGTGCCCCCGAGCACAAGTGAAGCGGATGCTAATGCCCAGGAAGGCAATACTGGTGTCGAAAATGGTGCTTCTGATGCTGGTGATAAGCCTACCCAAATGGAAACAGATAGCAAGGTTTGTCTTCAATATGGACTTAACTTGGAACAACTCTATGCCATCCCTTCCTAGTTGATGTGTTCTGCATGCTGGGTAAAGTTTTTTAATTCTTGCTTTGGCATTTTGCTATTGGCAGGCTGATGCTCCAAAGAGGAAAGTTAAGAAATCGAACATACCTGTATCAGAATTGGTGCATGGTGGATTGCCTCCAGTTGATCTGCAGAAGGCAGTAGAAAAGGAGTTTGAAATGGCCTTGCAAGATCGGGTGATGGAGGAGACTAAAGACAAGAAAAATGCTGTTGAGGCTTATGTGTATGAGATGAGGAATAAGGTAGAGGCTTCTACTTCCCCTGGTTTGGTCCACCCTTTATTTGTTTTTGGATGTTCCCATCATGACCAGTATGTGCTAATTGTGGGTTCATGGTCCAGCTCCTTGATAAGTATCAAGAGTTTGTCACTGAGCCGGAGAGGGAAGAACTATTGGCCAAGCTACAGCTGGTGGAGGACTGGTTGTATGAAGATGGTGAAGATGAGACCAAAGGTGTTTATATTGCCAAGCTTGAGGAGCTCAAGAAGGTAATCTATTATTTCTTCTCGTCCAAGGAAAGAGACAAGTGTTGGTTTTCTTTCGCAGTTGTTCTAACCAAGTGGGTTCAAACTGTTACAGCAAGGCGACCCAATAGAGCAGCGGTACAAGGAGTCCACCGAGAGGGGATCTGTAATTGATCAACTTCTTCATTGTGTCAGCAGCTACAGAGAAGCTGCTCTGTCTAATGATACCAAATTTGATCATATCGATATGAATGAAAAACAAAAGGTGTGATTATCCTTCTGGACCACTACTGTGCAATATTCATTTCCCTATCCTTGTGCTTCAACTTGACAGCTTTATCGTCGCTCTGCAGGTTATTAATGAATGTGCTGAAGCAGAAGCATGGCTAAATGATAAGAAGCAGCAGCAGGACTCCCTTCCCAAGTATGCTACTCCAGTTCTCTTGACGGCAGATTTGAAGAGGAAGGCCGAGGCACTTGACAGGTATTAATACTTTGATTTTCAAGCTATCAACGGCATAGTTTCCAGAATGCAAATTTTGAGACGAAGAGAAATATCCATTTGTCGTCTTGTCTACTACCAGGTTTTGCCGGCCAATAATGACGAAGCCAAAGCCAGCCCCACCAAAGCCGGCTACTCCTGAAGCACCCGCCGCATCCCCTGAACAGAGACCCCAGGGTGGTGATGCAGATTCCAAGGCCAATGCTGAGCCAAGTAGTAATGACGAGAAGCCAGCTGCCGCTGATGCCCCAGCGAGTGGGGAGCCAATGGATACAGACGATCAGGAAGGTTCGGCTAAAGCCTGAGAGCTGATATCTGCGTCGGCAAGGTTGAGACCCTTGCGTAAAATGAGTACTCTTTGGAGGCTCTTGATTCGGGTGTACGAGAGGTGGTCAGTTTTGCAATTGGTGAATTTGTTGAAGAATGATGTCGTGCTGGAATTTGTTATTGTTGTTGGGATGGAACGATAAAGGGTCTC